TTTCGGATGTTCTCGTCACCAAAAAGGATCAATCAGCCGCAGTCGCAGCCCAAAAGCACCCGCATGACAGGTGAGTTTCATGACCTGGGTGACGGTTTTCCTGGTCTATGCCATCGTTCAGTGCCCTGGTCTCCACGGTCACCCCACGATTTTCACATATCGGCGTGCGGAAACATCAGATTTGCTGAGCTGACACATTAAAAAGGAACCTAATCAAACTAGCACATGTTGTTTCCATATAAAACATTCATGAACACACGCAGAGACACACACACACAGATATATATATATATAATTATATATGCACACATAATATGGTGCATATCATATGTATATATATATATAATATGGTATATATTTAATATATAATATCACCATTTATAATCTATAAGTTATAACTATATCTGTAGCGATGCGCCTGTTCACCACTGGGCATTCACCCGCACATCACCATCCAGCATATACACCTCCGGTACCTTGGGCAACAGGTCAGGTGTTTGTGTCCGGCGGGCCCAGGTTCAACCGGATATTGGGCCGTCCCATTCCAGACATTGGTATTTTGGGTGTTGCTCTGTTGGTCAGCGCCTTCGTTCTGATCCGGGCTTTGCGGGTGTATGCCCATGATCGGAAGGTAGCTTGTCGCCGGAGGTCCAGGAAAATCGGGTACGATCAGTGATCAGGTAAGGTGAAAAATAGTTCCGAGATGTTCGGCATTCCATGGCGTTCCAAGTCTTTGTGCTACATGTGCATCATATAGTATCATATATACAGGTGCTGCAGGTGCTGTGGCTTATCCTATGGCCAGCTTTAGGATGACTACTCGGCAAGTTTTTAAACCGACCAGTCGACATGGCCGCGCTTATCCAGGCAATGCATCACCAAATAGAAAACTTTTCGGTGCAAGAAGCAAAGTGTCCCGGCCGGGGGAGGCGTACTAGGTGATGGGTCTATGGCTGCGGGTCGATGAACCCAATACATGCGAGTCTTCTTGCTGAAAGTGACAATGCTGAGGCTGACAGGTTCTTCCAATCAGGTATCAAGTCTCTTTTTTGAGTCTTTTTTGGTGTTTCTGAGTTTAGCCGAGTTTGAGTATCACCACATGAGTGCCGTGAGTGATGAACTTGATGAATCTGGATGATGTTTGATGGGTCTAATGGAAGCACCGGCCTTGTTCTCGATGGCCGACCTTAGGTGCTCAGATGAGCGTGATCGGCGATGGGTCGAGCGATCGATGCTGCGATGGTTTGCTGATCCTTGGAATGATAGCTATGGGATGCTAGCTACTAGATCATCTAGTAGTATCATGTAGTATCTAGTAATACTAACAGGTGATACTACATGATACTACTAGATGATCTAGAAACATTTATCTAGTAGTATCTAGCAGGTATCTAGTAATTAGTTTAGTCCTCACCCGGTAGCACAGTTTTGACATGTCTTGACCTTTCAACCGTTCCATAGAGCTCCAGATTTTTTTTTTTTGTGGCGTAGCCACAGTTCAAACATTGACGCGAAAGCTGGGCCATGCTGGGGCCCCACCCAACGCAAGTTAGCCTTCAGCAATGAAACATGGCAACGGGAAATTGGACATTTCTATAAACAGAGGTTTTGACGGGAAAGTCATCTATAAATGTAGGTACCCATAGGTAGCCACAGATTTCCAGCTGAGGATCTTGAGCTTTGCAACCTGCACATCCGACAAGCAGTGCGAGAGCAAGCAGAGGACTGGTGCAGCTGATGCCATCGAGTGACAACGGCTGAAGAAGCGTGCTGGCAAAGAACTGGACATTAGTTTTCAAGGCTAATGTCCGCCCCTGATTCATGGTTTATCATGGTTGAGACTATTCGCACTGTTGTTGTGGCATCACTGGGGTGCTCCAGACTGCCAGCTTGGCAATGCCTCAGCCTGTCAGATGATCAAGAACTCCAACATCACGTGACATCGTCATTTAACCAAAGACATCCAAAGATCATGTCCCACAGTTCAAACAACATCAAACAACAATAAGGTTAATAATGAGATACGAACACCCTATGGCCCTATGGTATTGAGATGGATTGTTCCCAAAATCATCACCTCCAGGAGCGGTTGGGGCCCGAACGTCACATCCCGACCAAATTGCTAATGCCCGTATTCCTTGCCACTTGGCACGGGTGACACCGGTAAGGTGCACAAATGGAGTGGGGAGTGTAAAATGGTCAGTAAGTTCAGTCTATACTAGCAGAACCTGAACCATCTTGAACCATTTTAACTGTCGTTTCCTCGATTTGGGATGATTGGGGGAAATTCGGATGGACTTAAAACACAACAGCCCAGTTGAAGATGTTGAAGGGACGGACTGGTCTGTACTGAGTGAGGTGCCTTGAGTTTCCGTTACCAACAGGATTAGAGGCACGAGCATTGACGCTCGACAGATATACTGTATGTAGGACATAAGGAGCCCAAACCACTGGAAACTCAAACATTACTGCAACCTAAAGGTGCCTCTTGTAGCACTTTGTGCCAACTCTGTGGCATGGCTCGCTGGGGTACATGTGATTGTCCAATGTGGTCATGCCACTGTTCATGGAAGTGGTACGCCATCCCTCCCAAGTCATTTCTGCTGAGCATTCCTGAGCATTTGCCCATTTTGCCAACCTAGGCCAACCATGTTAAACATCTGGAAACCTGGTATCAAATGATATCACCTATGGCAGCAGATCACCCAGATCACCGGCGGCAGGTGAACCTTTTCAACGATTGCGACTACATCGTGGGAGGTTATTACGACAGTCTCCGCAAGAGCCTTGCCGGGCTGGGCTGGGCGGCCTTTACTCTGTCCATCGTTCCTGTGGGCTACCGCCTCGCTCTCTGCTTCTCGATGCAGTGAGTTTTCCTTCCAAATCTGTAGAGACAGCTCAGTGTAGGAACGCCGGGTGCACAAGACTTCAGTGGCTAAGGCTTCACACAACAGCGCAAATGGTTCTTGGAATTGCTCATCAACACTTCCTTATCTCTCGGCTTAGTTCTCTTAGCGGTGAGCATCTATGCAACTCGGTGCTTATTCTGCCATGAGTCCTGTGAGCGATGTGGAGGTTTGTGTATCAGCTTGGTGCTCAGGCTCAGCCCATGAGGTGTTTTCATGACCAATGGCCGAGGTGACTACACACTTTGTGGTTGCAAAACCCGAAGTGAATGCAGTGGTACTGTGCATTCCATTTCTGGAAATTGTGGTTCCTGGGTTATATAGCCTGTTGGGATCGTTAGGGATTGAGGTCTAATGATGATTTGGTAAGATGGCAAATCCGGACCCCAACCTTCACCAACACAGCCACTTTAAGTATCCTGAGCATTTGTTGGGAAAACAGGACGACCCTTTTAGATCCTTTCCTTAGGAGATGCTTTTTGCGTCATTCACCAGGCGCATCCAGGACAAGGCCTGATCAGCCTGAGGTTGTTGCATGGTTGCAGAGGAGATCTTTTGGACGTTGCTGACTGGCTCGCACTAAGCGGGCATATCGAGCTATTCGCCCACCTGTGGTGGTAACCCGTCACTGCGAGGTGTTGTGGACACCACCATGGAACTGACGCGAATGGCGATGAAAATCGTTGGGCTGTGCTTGAAGGGCTGCAGAGCTAATGCAGCGGCTGATGATCAGGTGGTTGGCACAGGTTGGCATATATGGATAATCCTAGATCCTAGATTGCCATGGATTGCCCATAAAGATTCTGGTGCTTCACACTGAGGGGCCGGACCCTGTTCTGCTTCAGGCTCCAGCACCGTGGTTTTCTCTCTCAGGGCTTTCCAGAGTGCAGTGGCACTTCCAGGGATGTTGGAGGCCTCAGCCCAGATGGTGGAACCCATGGATGAAACATCACCCGCTGGCCCACAATTCACTGAAGATTTTGAGAAGGGAGGTGTTGGGGAGCCATGGCTTTTCCAAGAAATTCCACATCCTCCAATTTCACCATCAGCTTTTCCAAGGCTCAAAGACTTGGAAGATGTTGCGTTACCTGTGCAGGTTTTGGAGGAGGCTCACCTTTGGCAAAACCCAATTTCTCCTGAAAAAAACATGGTTGAAGATAGGGATATCAAAACCAGAGATATTGAACATGTTGAATTACCATTTTTGGATGAATTTCGGCATGGCTCCATTAACCATTCAGTGAACATGGGTCTACAGGAATTTTCTAGCACTGAGAATTAGGCTGATCGCTTGCTTCTCAAGAACCAGAGCCCCAATTTTGAGGTCAATATCTTTGATGTGTTGTCAGTATACCACTTGGAGAAGCAACTTTTTGAGTGACTTGCACTGGCAGATTTTGTGTTTTATTGTATTTACATGTTGGTCTCCTGAACCTTCGTTTGGCTTAAAGATGCCTATATAGAGGTTTGCCTCACGTTCTTCTTCCTCGCCGAAGAACAACATTTTGGTACACCTTGGCAAGTCTTGGTACTGTACTAGTATTAGGATGTATCAGGTAGAGGACTCACAGTGCGAGGTGACCCAGGTAGTGGAAGCACGCTATGGTCTTCAAAACTTGACCAGGAGGAGAGGCTGGCATGGCGGCAGAAGCTTTGGTGCTGAGCTCAGGGTTGTGGGCAAATCAGTGACCCCCCAAAGACTGCCAAATGGTGTTCCCAACTTGAGGATGGAAAAAAAAAACCAACAGCATGCCCCAATCATCCCCAATCAATGTCTAGCATTTGACAACACTAGACTTGAGCTGATTATCATGATTCGACAAGATTCAGCACGATCTGAGTCACCCATGGTTTCCCAAAACGGATGGAACTAATCAACTAACTAATTTAAATCAATTGCAGCAAATCAGGGCGTAATTTGAGCTGGCTTCAACCACAGGACACTAGCTGGGCCCTGGCATCAACCTGCTGCACAAGAGACGCTGCATGGTCATTGGTTCAACCGGCTTCGGATAGCTTGTGCAAGATTCGAGTCGACCTTAGAAACAACAAACACAACAACCAACCATGGAGATATAATGGGGCTATAACGGGAAATAACCCCGCCTATAGTTTTACATCGAACGACACTTCTTAATCTGTCTTGATTATCCCTGCTAAGAGACTGAGCTCCGTTAGCAGCATCGATGCCCCCAACTGCCATCAGCCATCATCGACACTTGGTGCCATGGCAAGGGTAAGGCTCGCAGCCCTGCTGATCACCATGGCAGCAGCGCAAACGTTCATGCAGCGCCGGGAGATTCCTGTCCTCAAAGCTCCCCAGGACAGCTGGGTCTTATTGGAAGGCATTGTGAACATTTGTGAACAATGGGGTTTTATGTAAAGGGATCTGCCTTGCGGCTAATTCCCCGTCTTTTTTTTGATTCTGAAGTCAGTCAAAGAAAAGCATCTCTTTGATGAGCAAATTGCAGCAGAATCATTGGCCATGCTTCATCATTGAACATTCAGCATCCAGAGCAAGGAGCCAGAGATCCCAAGACTGATGCCAGAGTTTCTTGTCTCGGTGAGACTTGTTGGGATACGCGGCAAATCAACCAGCTGCACATTCATCGCGTTGGCAGGTGTAAACATTCCAGCAACTAGAGTCGAGCCTACAGTGGGCCTACAATTGTGGCAGTTGTGATGCAGAAATTGGCCAACAAGCTCGCATCGTATCCATTCTGAATCATGTTGTATTCACAGACACCCGGAAGGAAGATATTTTTCCTGAAAAAAGTCCGGTAACAAAACTAGAATTACCCAGGCTTGGGTAATGCAACGATCGGCCGCGGAAGGGTGTAACCCATGTCCCCCCTCATGCTCGCACCACTGTGCAATCTATACCCCATCATGCTTGGCCGTCGCAAGCCGTGGCTGTGGCTCAAGCAGCCTTCAATGGCCACAACCTCTGACCCCAGCGTTTCACCCAAAGTCTCACTTGGAGCAGAGGCTGGGAAATGGCGGGAAGGGAAAGTGAGTTTGCGCTCGACTTCTGATTACTTTTCGTGCCTTTACATTACATTCGTTTCACTTGGACACCCCTAGAAGGCACCAGATTGCAACTGGTGGGTCGGGAGCGGGCACCAGTCAAGCGGAGGTAGAAACGAAGAATTTCGACGCAAAGGCAGTGCCAAATTACATCTCTACTGCGTCCCTTGGTATCGGTGGGATATGGTGGGATATGGATGATTCATGATGATTCATGATGATTCATGATGATTCAGGCAGGTTTCTTCATCTTTCTAGGGCCAGGGTGGTGACCTGGTGAATCCTGGTGACACTGAAGCAGCTCTTAGGCCCAGGTCCAACTTGGCCAGCTTTGGCGCCTCGGAAATCTTCGAGGACTGCGGGATCTTTCCCGATCTTTCGGCCTCAGTGGATCGAAATTGCCAGTGAAACGCCACACATAGCCACACAGCCAGTATGCTACCTCCCATTACCCCCATTTTCATACATGTTCATCATGTTTATAGCATTTTTAACGCAGGTTTATACATTCTGTTACATCTTTATGCCTTTGTTGAAAGGCCGGAGTCCGTTCCGTCAGGTCGTTTGCACCCTCCAAGCGGGACTTGATTTTCCAGATAAAATGGGGAGGGACCCAAGGGAGGGACATGGAGGAAACCATGGCTATGGGATGCTGTGAGTGAACCATCCAGGAAAGAGGTGACCGTGCCATGCACATCTTATTCTTATTTCTTTTGGGCTATCCAAGTTGTCATGTGAAATCATGTCGGGCAGAGAGGGAGAGAGAGAGAGAGAGAATCCCCCGTGTCCGCTGCGGTTGAACCACAGTAGAATTGCATTTGGATCATTTGGAGAGGATCTGGACGCTGAAGCATCTGTCCGTGCATCCCCGCTTGGGATCGTCACTAGCGGATGTGGTCGGCATTGGTCGCTGAAGGCAGATATAGAGGTAGAAGATGTGACCGTGTCATCGCAATACTACGACGCGTTCCTAAGTCATGAGTGGGGCAGCTCGGGCTTTCTGAAGGTTTTGACTATAGCAACTTGTCAAAAGGGATGGGCTGTGGAAGCTGTTGAACCTGAAGGGCTGCTGATAATCAATGCATTTTGCATTGCTACAGTGCTACAGTTTCAAACATACAGGAAGGCACTACTCGATGCCCGAAAGCAACCAGACTCAAGTCAAGCATCACATACAATTGAAGCGAGGGACTGCAACGTGTTGAGAAGGTGAGGTTTCGCAGATTTGCTGTCACTAGGCATTACCCTCCTTCATGTTTGTTGGTTTTGCTCCTGTTGACAGGGACAATTTACATTGATTCAGATGGCGTATCTTCATTCAGTGTTGCTAGTTGCATTGGTTTCAAGAAGACTGGTTGGCTGAGAGGGTTCCCATGGTGGCAGGGGGTCCCATGTCATCATACCTTAATGCAAGATTCCAAAAATATTTAAAGACAGGGCCACATCAAAAACGAAACCATCAACACTGGGCTGGGTGGCTTGGCTCAGTTGATGATCTACAACTTGCGTGCAGCTACCGCATTCACTTTGCTGTCAAGCCTTCTCTTCGGCGTGCTGCGCGTCTACGAGATTTTGCCGGACGACGAAAGCACAGTCGTCCTGGGCCACGGCGTCTTCTTTTTCGTGATAACTTTTTGGCAGCGAATCAGGGCAGCTGGGCCGAAGAATGGACAGCCAGCCAACAAAGAACAATTGACCATTTCTTTTCAGAGTGTCGGGCCCAAACAGAGTTTGAGGTTTGGGTCCTGACTCGAGGCAGGTGGCAGGTGGTTTGAATGCTTCTGCATTTGCTCAGGCAGCTGAAACCAACATAAACCAACCCCCAAAGATCCCCAACGCATTGATGCAACATCCAAGCTGCGAGACAATGGGGTGGCTGGGCTGAGGAATGCTTCAAGAAGCCTCACCTCTTCTTTGTCGACTCTTGGCTTCTTAGGTTAAAAAAACCTGGGTTTCACTGGCGACATGACAAAGCGGTTGCGGCATTCAATATATTAAATATTAAAATGTGATTAATCTTCATGGAACCCGATAGGATGACCCACCATTTGGGATTGTCAATAATTTTAAGTTATAGATAGTTATAGTATGATGGTCGTTCTGTTCTGATTCCCCTGCTGCTTGGCTCTTCCACCGCAGTCAGCCTTGCAGCTGCTGTGCTAGGACAAGCTTTGTATTGAACAGAAGGACGCCAAAGCCAAAGCGCAAGGCAACTCGGAAGAATCAAGAGATGCATTTGCAGCCCTGGAACAATCCTACTTGAGGATTGATCTGATGATTAGACGACAACTCACTTTTTAATCACTGAACTCATATATATAGTAATTTATAATGATGATCCGTTGACTTTGTTGACGACCACGACGAGGAGGAGGAGGAGGAGGTGGAGGAGGAGGGTGGTGGTGGTGGTATATCATGATGGTGATTACCACCATGATTTGATTTATCACGCTTCCCTACTGTGTGGATCATGGGATGTCGACTGCTAGGTATTTTGAGCCTAGCGGCCTACTTGAAGCGATCCAAGACGCTGAGCTGAGCTGTTGGAAGTCTTCCCACCATGTCACAAACCCAACTGCAGCTTTGGGCTATAGTTCATTTTATTGCACTATAGATCACTATAGTATGTTCATCTATTTTGTCTAATATCATGATCATATAGCTCTCTATCTAGTTGGGACCTGAAGTCTGTGAATAGACCAGACCAAATACCCAAGACTTGTCATACGTTTTGTAGAAACGGTTAACTAGCCACTACCAACCACCAAATAACAACCTGCAATACGCACTATTTCTTGAGCCACAGCATACAACAAGTAGAGGTGAAAACAGTGGTATCTACACTAGGACTGTGCAACAACACCCCCCGTGCAGTGTAATTACCGCACAGGAAGTGGAGCTGCAAATTAGGCTATGTATAGACTAGTAAGGGATGCCATTATGTTAAAACAAGTTAGAAAACACAACAACAACAACCAAACCAAAAACCCGTCCACGGCCTATCCTTTCTTCGTCCATTGTGCTTTCACCTCAGGTATGCATCAATGACAAACATGTGCAACAGCGATTGCGATCCATTCAATCTAACATCAAGTTGTGCGAAAGACGGATGCAGTGCATATCAATTCGGTCGAATGCATTCAGCTTTATTTTAGGCTCGACTGGGCTTGTTGTCGAACATGCAATGTGGAAAAAGGTCTTGGCCCGTTACATAGGCCCGCGTTTCCACGCGGCAACAAAAGTTCTTGTGGTCGCCCAGGAGCTTGCCAAAGCAAAGCGATATGAATTAATGGCAAAAAGCTGAATTCAGTTTTGGTGTGAACCCGCAGGGAAGCCTTTAGAAATGCTTCAAAGCTGCCTTATCTTCGCAAGGCAAGAGCTTCCGCTCTGCGGTACATGCAACTACCAGCCGTGTGCTCAGCAAGAAGGAATCATGGCAAGAATGAAATGAGTGCCAAATGCCTGCTTCAAATTATATGCATTCAAAGCGTTAATGGAAATTTTGTGAACTTGAATGAGTTGGCAAAAATTCCGACTTAGCACACTTGTGTTTGAAATGTTGGTGGAATCGCTCACCCACCAGTGCAAAAAATGAAGCTAGTCACCTAACCGGATTAAATCCGAAAAGGCAACAGCTTCCGCTGTGCGACACCTCTCATTGAAAGAAACTATCCCGCCTCAGATGAAGATGAATCCACCAGGCGAGAGGTTCCCCTCCGCGGTGCCTCAGCGATAGCCAGACCAACGTCGATCCCTGTATTGGTGGCCTTGATTTCGACGGCGCCAATCCTCCCACTCTTGGTCAGTCCACTGGTTGTAGAAATCATTCCATTCCTGTTGACTGTAGCCGTGCGTGGGTCCCTGATGTGATCCATACCCAGGACGCGAAGACCTGGTGACATCTGGGTTCTGCTGCTTGGTAGCAGGCAGGGGTCGGCTTCCGCCTTCCGTGTCCTTTGCCTCCGTGAGGGGGCGCAAGATGTCATCGACATAGCTGAGAATGTCGGCATACACATCCTGCTTGGACAGGGCGAGGGATTGGAACGTCGTGTTGGCGACGCTCAGGACCTCGAATCGGTCAGCCACTGGGATCAAGGCATAAGCGGCAGCGAACTGGTTGGCTCTGTAAAAGCGGTTCCTGTACCAGATGAGTACATGATCGTCAACGACGATCGTCTTCATCTGCTCCTCTTCGTATGCGACCAGGCACATACGCGCTTTATACTGCCGAATCTTTCCAGTTCGGATCTCCTCCCGCGTGCGCTTGATGTTGGGGAGCACCACGTTGCCGAGGACTGTAATCCAATGCATACACTTCGGTGTAAGGTCTTGGACCGCACAGTTAAAGGCGTAGTGGGCGTCCGTTCCCAGACGCTGGAGCAATGTCATCCCCGCCTTTCGTGCCTGTTTCATATATGAACGGGCATGATTTTTGAGGACAGCAGCAGCAGATCTGATCTGCTTGGCACCTTGGGTGGTGCCTGCCACATCGTCATCGCCCAGCAAGTCCAGGGTGAGCTCGAAACCGAGCTTCTCGGCGAGCTCCTCCAGACGGAACACCTGGCATGCGCGGCGCATGTCAGACATAGTCGCCAAGGACAAGCCGCATGCGAGGCACACCAACATCCCCTCAGGAAAAATCTTCCTGCACCGGGGGCATGTCAATTCTGGCATAGCCAGCATAGATACATACCGCCAGCGCGTGAGGTTCCCCTCCGCGGAAGGGTCAAATGCCTCCTGATCGAATCGATCAGAACGGCGTTCCCGCGCGTTGTCAGGGGAGATGTCGAAGCCAGCAGCCGTCACAGTTGGCTTTCGCGCCACACAGAGAAGGTTGGTGAAGTTGAGCGGCCGCTGCCTGGTCTTTGGCAGCAATTCATCGACGACAGGGTAAGGTGTCGGAACTTCTTTGTAAATGAGTGGACGGCGCAACGTGATGACGTCCTTCCACTGGTCATACTCATTCACAAACATCATCTTCAATGTTTCCAAGTCCGAACACTCGTACCTTTCAAGTTCCTCGTATGCGGGAGTGCCCTTCCGAGCCTCGTTCTCTTCCCAAACAAGAGCGTTCTCGGAGGCCTTCTGCCGAAGGTACTTCTTCACCCCGTTGTAGCCATGGTTGGCCCAAAGGTATTGCGACTTCTCGCAATCGAATGCGTAGATGAGGCAATGATTGGGCACCCAGTCCTCTGAGATGATTGCACCGGCCAAGGTTTCCACCAGGCGAAGACCATAGTGCAGAGCGCAATCGGTGTCGATCGCGATGCACAGCGGTCGGTTCGTCCTGACACCAGGATCCTTGCCTTCAATTTCCCAAGGCGCATGGCGGGTCATATACACATGACCCTTGCAAGACGTAGCCCCAGGAAAAATTCCCGTGCAAATGATCTGCTGGAGGGAGTCCCATGAAGTGTAATGGTAGATCACCCTAAACTCTTCTGGGACCTCGGCTTCCGCCAGGTGGGGATAAATAGGGACCCTTGGGTAGAATCCCTTCTTCACATCCTCCACCGTGAACTGGTAGTCAAGCGAGATGATTTGCTTGACCAATGGAGCCGTTCCCACCTTGTCGATGAGGGATTGGTCATGACCTTGGCAGGCCTTCACATGCGTGATGCGATACGGCATGTCCAAAGTTGTCAGTTCCCCGACAATTCCAGCTTCAATGCGACACATGAACCTGTCCTGTGTCCTGAGGATCAAGTAGAGATCCTGCTTTGAGAGCTGGGCCCTGTACCTCTTCCTCAAGTAGCTGTACATGCTCTCGAAGTTGAGGTAGAGCTCATCATCGAATTCCGGAGGAATGTGACGATGGTGGGGTTCCAAAAACTTGTGGTCGTAGCCGCGCAACAACCCAGTGACCCGCTTGGAGAACTTGAAGTCGTCGTAGTTCAGATGTCCAAGATCTCGAAGGCCAGGCAGTTCTGTGCACCTGATGGTGAACTCCCTGCGCTCGCCCGTTCCCGGTGAGAAAAAGTACCATTTGGGGTATCCCGATGGTCGCAAGGGCGGTTCAGCCGGAGGCTGAGGTCCACCCGTTCCCGGGGGAGGAGCACTTGCCATGGGCGGCTCCTTCTTGGCAATCTTCGGGGCAGGCTCCGTCGAAGGCGCAGCGGCTGGTGCCGATGACTTCTGAGGAGGTGCCCTTGGTGAGGTTGTTGTCAACGTCGGTGGTGGTGCCTTGAAAGGCAATGCTTTGGGCATAGGATGGTCCGCAGCTTCCGCTGGGAGTGCAGGTGGCTCCGGCTTGGGGAATCCAGTTGCACTCTTTGGAGTTGGCGGCGGACTGGGCTTTGGGGACGCCATGGGAGACGTTCCCGTCGCCGTTGAAATCTTGGGGAGCCGAGGGGCAGGCTTGAACTGAATCATGGTGGCCTGATCCTTCATCTTCGGCTTGATGAATTGGCTGACCGTATCTCCAATCACCTGTGCGATGCCGCTCGATGACGATGCCGCTTCCGATGTGGAAGCCGCCTTCGACTTGGCCTTCGACACAATCTGGAGAGAGGCAGCAGGGTCACCCGCGCGAAGTTTCTCCTCGGCGGACTTGGGCTCCTCAAAGATCTCACGTTCCATCTGACGGTGCTTCTCCTCATCCGTCAAATCGAAGCGACGAATGATGATTGCCCCATCTTCGGTTTGCTGCATGGACTCCTGCCGAAGTTCGAGCTTGGCAGGATCACGTGTGACGTCGGTATCCAAGATGTTCACTACGCCAGAACCATCCAATCTGAAGTCCACAGCATGGATCTTGTTCATCAGATGGGAGCGCAGCTTCCGCTGGCTAAACATCGATGCTGAGCCGCCGACAATGGGGTCCCTGAAGACAATCTCCTCGTCAGCGTCCGGCTCGTCAATGTCGCGCTCATCGGAAACACCAGGCAATCGATCCAAAAAGGGCTTGAGGATGGCGTCGATGAGCTCACCATCCATCTCCGGCTCTTTGACCTCATGTGGTTCAAAGTGCCCGGGTTCCCCCGGCAGTGCAGCATCCACGGACTCCAAGAGCTGCCAGTTCGATGAGGCCGCAGCGGCATCATCCTGCACCGTAGGAGCCTGCTGGATCTGTGCACGTTCAGGATCGACTTCATTGGGAAGTCGTTGCCCCTTGGGTCGAGTCTCCTTCACATAGATTTCCCAACCGTCCACGTCCATGGAGACCATCACTTCCTCCATTTCTTCCCACTCCGGGTTGTTTTCCGGAAGCGGGTTGGCCAACGATTCCTCGCGGCGCTTCTTCATCTCCGCCATCTCGATCAATGGCTTGCACGACCGAAGTCGAAAGAGATGATATCCCAAAGCGCCCGCCTCAGAGTAGAACCGAATGCACTGGAGGCGGTTGTGCTCCGAATTCTCCATGTGCTGACCGTCATATCGTGTCGTACATTTGATGAGCGACGTGGCATCGAGGACGCAAAGTCCGCGTTTCCTCAATGCCTCGGCTTCTCGAATCATTTGACGGTCGTAGTCGGGGTGCAACCCGTACCCTCGGCCGTACAAGGACGATGTTCCCAACGTCGGCG